ATACCACAAATATGCATCCTTTTCTGTTAGTAATTTTCAACTGTCCTTATCCTCCATATGGTATGCGAAGAAAGGGCACTTTATTTCCACAACAACTCCTTGTCCCACGGTTTAGTGGGACAAGGAGTTTTTCATTTATTTTACCATTTAAGTAAGTTTAAGTATTTATTTTTTTGTTATCTCCACTCTTTACCATAGATTTCCACTATCAAGTTAGCACTACCTCAAAAATGCAATATTTCAAATATTGTTTATAAAAAAGGACGCGACAAATTTGTAAACTTTACGACAAATTAATGCAATAGTTTTTTTATTCAAATCGCAAGATGTAGTGCCAACTTGACAGACGTTAATTAAAACATTGGGAATAGATTTCTTTCAAATAAGGTTTTGTAATTTGTATTTTAAATTCACCTTTTCTAAATACATTTCATGCTGTCTCAAGTGCTGCTTTATTTGGATTCTTTTTTATCGTTCCAACAAACAACATTCCTCTATTAGGTTATTCTACTCTATTACCATGCAAGCACTGTTACCGTAATCACTGGCAACTTCTGCGACTTCCAGTTTTGCATTTGGTCTGCAAACTGGCACACTACGCCACAGGGTGGTGTGACGTAGTGTGTGGCTTCGTTGTTAACCATAGTGGACTACAAAAGAACAAAGAATCTAGCAGTCCTTTTAGATTCTACCATCTTTAGTGAATAGTAGTACCGTACCGATGCGTGATATCATCAACGAACCGTCGAGCTGCACGTGTTCCTGGGATGGAGCAGTTATCTCAGATTCTACCGTCCTTAGCGAAAACTTGGCTTGTAAGGTAAATACAAGCGAATTTGTAGCAAATTGACGTATAGTGCAGCTATTACGTTTTGAATGTGACTAATTCGCTATATCTTAAAAAACTCTTTCAATTTATTTGCGATAAATGCTGTTCCTCGCTCAAATATAGTGTTTCCCAAAAGTAACGGATAAATTCGTTAAAACAATTAAAATAGTTTATGGAAAAATCGCTGAGACTGGTTTAACCTACTTTTTTTAACCAATACTCATTGAGCAATAATTACTCATTGTCAGATAAATTCCTATAAGTCTTCTGTTGTTACAAACTCTATTAGATGTCTGTTGTCTTCACAAACCAGTGCTTGGTAATATCTATCAGCTAAATCAAGGGATGTGAAATATTTCTAATTTATCCAAATGTAATGTCAAATATCATGCAGTTAATACATAAACGTTCCCCTTCTGTTCTCTAGTTGATATCAGAGACTTGATATTGAGTTTGTTCATTGACATCAATTTTCTTTGCAAGTAAATCCGTACAACGTAAATTAGAATATTTATCCGCAATTACTTGGTCATGTTCATTCAGTAACTTAAATAACTCTACTTTGTCACTTTCTGGTATATCTGGTTTGACATCAACTTGATCCTTCAATAACTTCGAATTGTATCTATAATTTCTGGTGTGTGGAGGGTTTCTTTTATTATTTTATTATAAAATCATTACACCATTCCCTCCATTACCTATTTATTTCTAAATCATTAACAATTTTTGTCATCTAAAGAAACAACAATTCAATGATTTACGTAACTACAATTATTTTACAATGAAAACATGTTTTTTGTTACGAAAATTGATTCCAAGTTTTTTCTTATTCGTGTGTTTTTATTTGTTGTTAATATTTTGGGATTTTCAAAATCAAATTTGTGAGTTAAAGTTATCGAATGTTGGCATAATGTTAATAAATAAATGTTTTCTTTTGCGTTTTTATTTGTTTAGTATCGTATTTATGTTGTTGTATACGTTTTTTGAGATGTTGTTTAGATTCCCTTATGTAAATTTTATTGCAATTAGTGCAGTTTAATTGATATACTGTATCTACTCTATCTAATGTCTTGATTTTATCCTTCATATTTGATATTAAGGTGCCAATTTTGTTGTTATTATACTTAGCAAATTTTATTTATGATATTTCATACCTCTTAAAAACATTCGTTACCTTATTTGTTCATGTTGGTATAAATTTAATTTTACAAAATTCTTTATTATTATGAGTGCTTTTATGTTATGAGCAGAGCCCGGACAGTTTAGAAAAATAATCCTAAAATGCCTCCCACTCCAGTCTTAATATTAAAAGCGACAACAACGTACAGTGCCGCTCGTAGAGGCATAAAATTGTACTAGAAACGACCTACGTTCACGAGGCATTCAATCCAGGTTTTACCTGCTTTGTAGTGTTGTAAAAGTTCCGAACAGGCAAGCGGGGTGATGTGATTTATGGCCAAGATGACTGAATCACAAAGAAAAATTAAGAAAATAAATAAGTATAAGCAATCCATTTACTTTACACAATTCCTGTAGTAAATGAAAATAATTACTAATAATTACTGTATTACTTTGGTAATACAGTGGAACGATAAGTCGAACCTCATAAGAAATGAAAATTATACAGGGTGTATCTGAATGACTGCAACAAACTTCAAGGGGTGATTCTTTAGTGAATTTTAAGGATACTTATATATGAACCATGGGCGACTTCGGCTCCCCTAAGGAGCTACACCCCTCCAAAAATGGCGGAAAATTTTGGTTTAATTTCTTTTTCTCAAAAACCATAAACGCTAGGAGAATGAAATTTGGGAAATATGTTTAACTCATAATAGGGCACGTTTTGGCCCTATTTGTACTTTCAATCTATCCTTCTAAACTACTAAACGTAATCAACCCATTTGCATTTATGCTAAATTTTTTTTTTATGCAGATGATAAATATATTAGAAAAATTTTACATAGATAGATGAAAGTATTCTATACTGAAAGTATTCTAGTACCGTTTATCAATAATTGCTCGCCTCGTAGTCAAACCTGACTCTCGTTGACCAGGAACATGAGGCATGTTGTATTTAAGAAAACGGACAAATTTGAATGCACTTAATTTTGATATTGAATAATTCTATTTAAATTTGAAGGAGAGTTTCATAAAGCTTTATTTATAAGTTTTATATTATATTAATTATATTACTGAGATTTTTATCTGACGTTTTATTTATAGAAATACTCTAAAATCATTTATTAGATGAACATATAAAAAATCGTGTATTTGATGTTCTTAAAAATATCAAAAAAGATTTAAAATAAAATAAAATTAATATATTTAAAAAAAGGGTGATCCATTCTTCGGCCCACTTCAAACTGGGACGGTTTTACCTGGGTTAAGGTAAAGGGTAACTTCCTTTAGTCTCAGAAATCGAATTGAATAGAAACAAACGATGTCCCCGTCTTCTTCCAGTACCAGCGTCATGTCGGAACTAACAGCGGACGATTCGCATTAAATCTGAACAGAGCTGTACGTCGTTGTCAAGGCATTCGTTTCGTGTGAAGGGCGCACGTTTGCTAAACTGTCCGGGCTCTGGTTATGAGTGATGTTCCAGAAAGCGATCTTAACACTCAGGGAAATATTAACAATAAAAGCACTCATAATAATAAAGAATTTTGTAAAATTAAATTTATACCAACATTAACAAAATAACAAAATTGGCACCTTAATATCAAATATGAAAGATAAAATCAAGACATTAGATAGAGTAGATACAGTATATCAATTAAACTGCAATAAAATTTACATAGGGGAATCTAAACAACATCTCAAAAAACGTATACAACAACATAAATACGATACTAAACAAATAAAAACGCAAAAGAAAACGGCTTTATGCCAACATTCGATAACTTTAACTCACAAATTTGATTTTGAAAATCCCAAAATATTAACAACAAATAAAAACACACTAATAAGAAAAAACTTGGAATCAATTTTCATAACAAAAAACATTAATAACGGCAGTTAACTTTAAAACTGACGTAGGACGAATAGGGGCGCATTATGCAGATATTTTAAATAAATTGGTTATACAATAGAGTGAGGGAGATGGAACTGGTTTCCAACAAAGAATAAAAATGAAATTTGACCTTGTTGAGAAATTTTTAAAAAGACGTGATGTGTAGGCGTGATGAGATGGGTAGAAATTAAAAGACGATCAATGATAAAATTGAAAAAAGTTTTTGGTAGGAGTCATATTCTACATATTGTGGTTTAGGTGTAATAAATGTTTTCATTGTAAAATAATTGTAGTTTGTTACGTAAATCATTGAATTGTTGTTTCTTTAGATGACAAACATTATTAAACCTGATGATGGGAATAGTCCCGAATCTAAACAACGTCTCAAAAAACGTATACAACAACATAAATACGATACTAAACAAATAAAAACGCAAAAGAAAACATTTATTTATTAACATTATGCCAACATTCGATAACTTTAACTCACAAATTTGATTTTGAAAATCCCAAAATATTAACAACAAATAAAAACACACGAATAAGAAAAAACTTGGAATCAATTTTCGTAACAAAAACATGTTTTCATTGTAAAATAATTGTAGTTACGTAAATCATTGAATTGTTGTTTCTTTAGATGACAAAAATTGTTAAACCTGATGTTGGGAATAGTCCCGAAACGTCGTTTGTAATGATTTAGAAATAAATAGTTAAAGGAGGGAATGATTTTATAATAAAATTCGAATTATATGTTACTAGGGGTAGTATTTTTTGAGTAGTTCCTTTTTGATCCAACGAATTCTTCATGATTGCTTTATAGTCTTTAATTTTCTTTTAATTTTAACGTAAGGTATTTAGGTAATTGCATCATGATATATTTATTATATTTCATCAAAGATCCAATAGCTTCCATAAAATATATAACTTTTGTAGAACACTTCAGACATCTTTTTGATCATTTAAAGCAAGAATGCAACGGAAGACCACAAGAGAAGCCACAAGTGTCAGAACCTCGAAGAGAGTAGCTTTGGTAGTATTTGAGACAAAAGATAAAGGAGACCAATTTGATCAATTTGACCTATAGCGCCATTGGAGAAACAAAGAAATAAAAATATATAGGGCTCACTAATATTCTTTATTTAAAAAAATATAAAAATTTGATACAATAAAAAATATAAACTTTGATTTAAAATCAAGCATTTTCTTTTTCATGAAAACGTTTTAAAACGTTAAAATCAGTAACAAACCAACCCGATTGGTTCTTAACGGCTTCTCTAACAACATTACCACCAAAACCTATAAAAGCATGCGCATGATTTGTCGTTTCTAAGTCAGTAACACCATCTCCAATAAAAACGATATTTTTATAACCCTGTTTCTTTAAGTTATCAGCTACGATAGCTTTACCACCACTTCTTGATGTAGGTTGCTCAGTATCATATCCAGCAAATTCTCCATCATAATAAAATTTTAATCTATTAGCATAAATTCTTTCGCTAGGAATGTTTAATTTTAATGCAATTGGAGCAATGAGAGATTTAAATCCTCCAGACACTAAATAAACATGGATTTTTTTCTTATTTAAATATTCAATTAATTCCCTAAAATAAACAAAATTAATTTTATTAATTTTAATAACTATAATATAATTATAATAAATGATTTAAATAGATGAAATTACATTTTTAAATACTTTTATAGAAAGTACCAAAAATACATCAAAATAAATAATTAATAATAAGTATAATAATAAATAAATAAAATTGAATGAGGCTTAATCAATAAAATACTAAATATAACTGATCTGCAAGATCTTCTTTGTAGAAAAGAAAAGTTATATTACCATAATATAAGTACTTAACACTAATTATACATTTTTAGATGATAAGAATAATTTTAGAGATTTTTATTTGAGTTTTATATTGGTGTTACCCAATAACTTACTGTATTCCTTGAGTTAATGTAGCTGGTTTACATTGAAGAAATGTTTCAATTTGTTGTCGTGCAGGTTTAATAATTTTCAATCTCTCTGCTAAAGCTATCTCATAAGGAATTCCTCCACCCATCGCCCGTTTAGTCCATTCAGCAACTTCATTACCTTTTTTACAAAACTCTGCTAAACAATCAATTCCTTCTTCGGTAATTACAGTCGAATCAACATCAAAACATACAGCGTCCACATTTTTCCATACATTTTTCACTAATTCTTCTGTTTCCTTTGTAATAATATTCATGTTTACGTTTGGATGGTTTCGTATACGAAGACGTAATGGAATAAAACGCATGTGCTATCATTATTTCCATAATTATTGTTCATTGAATTACATCATTTTGATAAAGAATGCACTAAAAACAATTTAGAAGTGATATTGAGTGATATCTAGTTGTATTTCTTGGAAATAACACGAAGGTTTCTTTTAATAGAGGTAATCTGTTGTACAAATAATAAATTTCTTACTTTAACTTGTAGATGGAACCACTGTATTGTTAAGTAAACAATTCTTTTCCAGGTTTGCATTTAAAAGTTGATTTAGTATAATTGATAATGGAAAAGTATGTCTAGTTATAATAATGTAAGATTTTTTTTCTATATTATGCATAGCACAATTGTATAACACCTAGTAAATACATACTAATTATTTACTTATTTTTAACACTAAATTAAACTAGATAATGTTTTGCAGCTTTTCCCAGTGGACAAATCTGCTTTACCCATAATATAGATAAATATTGTCATATTTTTACCGTTTTAAGACCAAAACACAAAAACGCGCACACTGCGATACGCGGAACACATGTATTGGGTATTATTGTTTTTGTTATAATTCCGCACTATTGCTCGCGTTTGAATCGACTAGGCCACTAGCTCACTAAATCGAACGGCTTCATCCTCTGAAGGCGACGCAGAACATCCTCGTTGTCGAGAAGCTGGATGGCCTCGATGTTGGGATGATCGTGCATTCTCTTCTCATGTTTAGATGCGAATGATGCAATTTCTGATGACACCGATGCTACTTTCAAGTCGCGATGGAGGTCGGTGTTTCTTACATACCAGGGTGCATTCACTATGCTCCTTAGTACTTTGTTCTGGAATCTTTGAATCAGACTTGCATTTGTCTTGCAGATACAACCCCATAGTTGGATTCCGTATGTCCATTTTGGTTTTAATACTTGCTTGTATATTAGCAACTTGTTTCTTAGTGATAGCGTAGAGTTTCTGCCAATAAGCCAATATAGGTGTCTAAATTTGATATCAAGTTCCTCACGTTTTTTTTGACGTGAGCTTTCCATTTGAGTTTGGCATCCAGCGTCATACCTACTGGGACATAGTTTACTTTGTTGTAAGTAAAGTTTATGTATGTCGATTTATTTGTATTTAGTTTTATTAGCCATCGTTTGGTCCAGTTTTCTATTGAATTTAATGCCAATTGTAACTTATTTGCTGTAACTACTTCATTTTCTGCAACAGCCAAGATCGCTGTGTTGTCTGCGAATGTAGCTGTTAAAGTTTCTGGTACCTGAGGAAGGTCGAATGTGTAGAGTAAGTACAATGTTGGGCCAAGCACACTTCCTTGAGGAACTCCGGCTCGTATTTCATGTATTGGTGAATAAGCGTTTTCATATTTTACTCTAAAATATCGATCAGAAAGATACGATTTTAATAGTTGACTATACGTTGATGGTAGTATCTGGTCTAGTTTGTAATTTAAACCTTCTAACCAGATTTTGTCGAAAGCTTGTGCAACATCCAAAAATACGGCGGAGCAGACTTTATTTTCTTCCATTGCTATTTCGATAGTATTCGTTATTCTATGCACTTGGTCTATTGTTGCATGTTTATTCTGAAACCCAAATTGATGTGTTGGTATTAGGGCTTTTTCTTCTATGAAAGGTTTTAGTCTTTTTAATAGTAATTTTTCAAGCAGTTTTGATAGTAAGGGTAATAATGAGGTTGGCCTATATGATGTAACATCTGTGTAACTTTCCATATGTTTGGGAAGTATTTCTGTTTAAAAGCAGCATTAATTATGTGTAATAGTTTTGTAATCGCCCGTTTTGGTAAATGTTTCAATGTTTGTCCATTAATTAGGTCATAGCCCACTGATTGCTTTATATTTAGTTTTTGTATTTCATAATACAGTTCTTTCATTCTTACACATGGTATATTACTCTGCTGATCACTTTGAAATACGCTAGGGACACTATTTAGCATAGTTGTTGGACTGTCTGATGTAAAAGTTTCTTTCAGATGTTCAGCAAACAAATTAACTTTTTCTTGATTGCTCTTAGCCCAATTTCCATTATTATTTCGAATTGGAGGTGTATGTGTTTTTGGAACTTTAAGTTTTCTTGTTGTCTTCCACACAGAATAATTAGTACTGGCATCGTCAGTAAGGTCTTTTAAGTACTTTTGAATATTATTTTCTTTGTGGCTATCTGTTAATGCTCTTGATTCTGCTGTTATTTTATTTAATTTAGTTTTATCACTAGGAATTCTATTGGTTTGCCATTTCTTTCTTGCTTTCCGTTTTTCTGCAATTTTGTCTCTAATGAATTTAGGATAAATATTAGATTAAGTTTTGGTGTTAAAATTGGTGTTGAGGCCCAAGCTGCGTTTTGTATGTCTTTTAAGAACTTTTCTAGTTCATTGTCAATGTCTTCGTTTGTTTTCATAAGAGCATTAAGATGAATTTTATTATCTAATGTTTGTTGAAATAAATTCCAATTAGTGAGTTTATTAGTTAGTGATAAAAAGGGTTCTTTATATAATATAAGATAACGGTTCTTTCATTCGTAGTAAAATTTCATAATTTAGCAGTTTCATAGAGTTGCTTTTTAATGTTTTAGATTATTGATTTCTGGAGACTCAATTCTGATAATATGAAGATTGGTGGGATGATTGAAGAAACTTGTTGAGGCCTGAAAAAACATATGCCAATATCATTGGTATAGGCAAGAGGTCTGTACAGAAAAGTTAAGATAACGGGCGAGGCAACGCAACAGGCAGCAGAAACAGTTGGACAATTTCCATCAATTCCAGTACATTTCCTACCCAATCACCGTAGTATCTGTATAATAAAAATTAAGTTGTGATTTCGAATCTGGGAGTAAATAAAAAACCTTTTAACTAATATCACAGTAAATCACTTTGAAAAATGAAAGCCGTTATTGAATATGATGCCAGTAATCAAAGACATGGAGCAGCAGTCACCAGCCACCAGCAAGATAAGATATTTTTAACCCTTCAAATATCCAATTACATTTACAATCCTTTGTAGTAAATCCTTTGTGTGGCAGGAAAATCGTCATCTCGTCCATTTTAAGCATCTGATTGCAGATAAAATGATAGTAGGATGAAATATTAAGATTTGTTTATATCTAAGAGTTGTTGTGTGATATAAATGTAAGAAAATTACGAAGAATGGTTATAAATAACAAGGAGGAAATTGGAGGATAATCTAGAAAATTACTCACGGAGGAACGGAGACGAGAAGATGAGCGAAACTATTAATGAGTTGAAAGAAACTGGGGTACTGGAAATTATGTAATCTCTAAATATTGCGAATATCTAGGGTTTAATAAGAACTTAAAGAATTCAAAGATATTAGTCAAGGTGTTCCTTTCCAACAGAAAATTGGAAGTCACCAAGCAAGCTAAAGAACACTGAACACTTCGGTAGCACTAATTTATTATTAAGTTAAATTTTTAATTTAATTAAATTTAATTGTTATTTCTAATAGGTAGTAAAGTATGAAATGATTGGAATGGAGCCGTTGCATTTTTTTTTAATGGCTTATTCGATAGTTTAGCAAAATTCAAGACTTATATAATTCTTTACTTTTCAAACTGGGCTTTACTTTTTCCAAAAAATATAATGAAAATTTTAAAAAACTTTGGAGACGTCATCGTCGTTTCGCACGCGATTGGTTGAAATAAAAATCAATAAAGGGTGCATGAGCGAGATGCCTCGCTTTAATATTCGTTTTAAAACGTTTAATAAATAATGAATTAATAAATAAATAATTTTATGTTAAATTACTCTTTTAGTAGCACTCCTAATGATGGTATTATTATTGTTCTTTTCTTCTTCTTTTTCGCAATATCTTCCGCCGTTAGGTCCTCGATCCATTTTTGGTAGTATTTTGTATTTAACGCCACCATCCTATTTACTTCCTCAATGTTCCTTCCCCTCTGCATGCTGAAACGCGCTCTTGATGCTTCCATCATCCTCTGTGGGAGCCTCGTATCATCCATACGGATCACGTGCTCATACACTGCAACTGTCTGTGTAGTTTTCACTAAAGGATCTATGCCTAGTGGTTGTATTTCTGACTCCATCCTCCCTTCTGGTCTTGCCTATTATTCATCTTATGTACCTGATTTCTGCAGTTGTTACTTTGCTTTTGTGCTTATCCTGTGTTGGCCGGGCTTCCGCATACGGGACGGAAGCCTAGCTAATAATCAATATTTACACACATACTGCTTTGTATACAGGGTGATTCTCAATTTATACGCATAAAATTAGGTATTTATTCCTTATGACAAATAATGACTAATTGATGAAAAAAATTGTAGTAAAAGTTTTTTAGTTTCCTAGATATCCGACATCATCGACGACATCTTGATAATGTGTTTCCTGGAAGATGAATAGGTTGAGATGCCTCAATGGCCTGGTCACCGCGATTGCCCGACCTCAATCATCTTGATTTTTATTTTTGGGGTCACTTAAACTGCAAAGGGTACACAACGGAAATTAATACTGAGTAATATTGCAAAATCGGATACCTTCTGCTTCCGAGACAATTCACCACCAACCCTGGTTTAGGCCGCGCTAGTGGAAAATCGTGGATTTGGGAAGCCCAATTATGTATAGAAAATATCGGAAATAACTTTGAAAACTGCTTTCGTGTTATTTTAAAATGTTCTATGTATTTCTACTTTCTTGATTTGAAAGTAAATATCAACTACAAATTTTTCGCTTATTAGTCATTATTCCCGTTGAGGAATAATTCTCCAAGTTTATGCGTATAAGTTGAGAATCATCCTGTATATTACGTTCATCTTTGTATCGGTACCCAGCTTTTTTTATTTATCAATGTTGTATTGCGCTGTTCTTTTGTAGCGTTGGTCATATTCTATTTGTTGACTTGTTTTGCAATTTCCAGACTATTCCCGCCAGTAAAACTATGTCATTCGCATACACAAGACTTTGGAGGCTTACTTCTTCCATTCTCCAGTATTCGAGTTTTAAGTTCAGTGCCCTCTTTTTAAGGTTTGGTCCATAATCACAACAACCAGGAAAGAAACAAAGCTAAGGGAGTCCCCCTGTTTGATTCCTTTTTCCATATTGATATATAATTTTTGTGGAATGTTCGGTGAAA